ATAATGCAGAAAAAATAATGATTTACATATAACAGTAATCATAACGTCACTACTGAAAAAAAAACTCTTTATATAATTGGAATGATAATACCAATACTAAAAAAAAACAAAAAAACATATATATATAGGAAAATTCTATATATAGTTTAACATCAATACTGTAAAAACAAAAATAAAATAAAGTAGGCCTACGTGACCATTAATTTCTATTAATTTCCATTCATTTCCATTCGCACGGAATTAACACCTGCGACAGAAAAAAATGTGAGCGGAATTCAGGATGCAAATTGACCATCCATTTTTTTTTTTTTTTTTTTTTCACAAAGTTAGTTATTATCTTTTATTTATTTATTTTGTCTTATCTATTTTTGTTATTATTATTATGATAATAATTATTATTGTCATTATTATTATTATTATTTTTATTATTATTATTATTATTATTATAATTATTATTATTATTATTATTATTATTATTATTATTATTATTATTCAGTTTTATGTTTTATGTGTGTTCGTTCGTTTAATGAAAAAAAGAGTGAGGGGGGGGAAGTCGAATCTTTTGAAGGGGGGAGGTGGAAGGGATGAATATGGGGGGGAGGGGGAAGGGATGAATGGGGGGGGAGGGGGAAGGGATGAATGTGGGGGGGTGGGGTAGCTTGATTAATTACTTGATTTGAAAGGTCGTGATGGGATTAGGATTAGGTTTAGGATATATATATATATGTATATTTTTTTTTTATACAAAACATTATCATTGCGAAGAGGATTCTTATCGTTATTGATAGAAGACTTAGGCCTGGGATAATGATCGGCTTCGTCGTCATCTTCATTGTCATCATCGTCATCGTCAGTATCATTATCATCGTTATCATTATCATCATCATCACCACCACCACCATCATCATCATTATCATCATCATCATCATCATCATCATCATCATCATCATCATCATCATCATCATCATCATCATCACCTTCACTTTCATCACCATCAGTCATCAGCACCACTCTCGTCAACACCCGTCATTTACTCTATCAATGTGACCTGACATATAAAAAATAAAATCTCGGATATCTATTTAATGTCTGCGCCTCTTTTCAAAATAATTTTGTAGGGAAAGGGCGTGCGTGGTGATCAGGTGGGGATGTGGTGTCGTGGTGGTGTGTGGGTGATGAGAGGGTGTTGATGATGGTGATGTGATGAGTGGCTGTTGGTGATGGTGATGTGATGAGTGGGCGTTGGTGATGGTGATGTGATGAGTGGGCGTTGGTGATGGTGATGTGATGAGTGGGCGTTGGTGATGGTGATGTGATGAGTGGGAAGGAGGAGATGGGGGAGGGAGATGAAGAAGGGGAAGGGGGGAGGAAAAGGAGGGTTTGGGGGAGGGGGGGAGAAAGAAGGAGGGAAAGAGGAGGGGAAGGAGAGAGAAAATGAGGAAGGGAAGGAGGAAGATTGGCGAGGAGAGGGGAGGGGGAAGGAGGAGGTGAGGGGAGGGGAAGGAGGGGGGGGGATGGGTTCCCAGCGTCGCCACTTTTCCTCGCGAGTGACTTAGCGGTCCGTGGTGCTTGTTCAACGAAGGCTGTAAAATGTTCTCTGTCGTGTTATTTGTCTGATATGTTGGTTTATTTATGTTCATCAGTCTATTCATAAGTCTGTTGGTACATCTGTCGGTTCAAGAATATCTGTCTGTCTGTATATATATCTTTACCTAACTTTCTATCCATCTAACTTTCTCTTTCTCTTGCTTCTCTCTCTCTCTCTCTCTCTCTCTCTCTCTCTCTCTCTCTCTCTCTATCTATCTATCTATCTATCTATCTAGCCATCTAGTATCTTTATCATTTCCCATCTATCTATCTATCTACCCGTCTATCTTTATTTATATTTACCCATCAATCTACCTATCTCTCTATCTATCTATCTCTATCTATCTATCTGTCTGTTTAACTATGTCCACCTCTGCATTCGGAGAGGATCCAGTGACTGATCCAGCGAGTGTGTTTGCCTTCTTGCGCTGAGTGGCTGCCCTCTGTGAGTGTGGTGCTTGGGATCCAGCGGCAGGATTTGGGTAGGGTTTGGGTAGGTTGGGTAGGGATTTGGGTAAGGTTTGGGTAGGTTAGGTGAGGTAAGGTTTGGAGTAGGGATTGGGTAGCTTTTGGGCAAGGTTTTAGGTAAGGTTTGTGTAGGTTAGCTTAGATAAGATTCGGGTAGGGTTTGCGTAGGTTTTGGGTAAGGTTTGGGTAGGTTAGGTAAGGTAAGGTTTGGGACAGGGTTTGGGTAAGATTTGGGTAGGTTAGGTAAGGAAACCTAGGTTTTACGGATTTTCCCGTCTGAGAGAGAGAGAGAGAGAGAGAGAGAGAGAGAGAGAGAGAGAGAGAGAGAGAGAGAGAGAGAGAGAGATTCCAGACTCAAGCGTTTGACCCGCATCATAAAAGTGCACATGATTTTACGGTGTAGATCGGTAGCTGGTGTACATCGGAGAAGGCGGGAGGGGGAAGG